GAAGATAGACTAAGCAACTCGTGCCATGTTGCTTATGTCTAGAACAAATTAACTGTGGCACTTGAGGTATGCTCATGGCATATTCCCTTAAGGAAAAGGAGAGGATGTAAATTACAAAGAGAAAGGTGCTCCCAATACAGGCGAAGGCAAAGAATAACAGAGCAGCTACAAGAGGCCAATAAATTTGCAATGCGTAGGGAGACACTGGTCAGAGAAATAGCAAACATCGAACTAAAGCTAAAAGAATCTTACAGGAGTCAAGAAATGCGAGAAGAACTAAAAGCCGTAAATGAAATTGAAAGAAACACAAAGTATTTCTTCTCCTATGCCAAATCAAAATCGAGAACAACGCCCAGTATTGGGCCCCTACTTAAACGAGATGGGTCCTATACAGATGACAGCAAGGAAATGAGCGAGCTACTCAAGTCCCAATACGACTCGGATTTTAGCAAGCCACTAACCAGACAGAGTCGAAGACCAAAATGAATTTTTTATAACAGAGACAAAATTTGGTAGACACACACCTATCTGTTATTATCCTGATGCCAAATGACTCGAAAAGGCGATAAATTACATGGCCATGCACTCTGCTCCAGGCCCAGACTCATGGAACTCCATGTTCATCAAGAATTGTAAGAAGCCCCTATCACATGATTTTAACATCCTATGTAGAGGGAGCATGGACACTGGGGTTGTCCCACAGTTACTAAAAACAACAGACATAGCCCCACTCCACAAAGGGGGCAGTAAAGCAACAGCAAAGAACTACAGACCAATAGATTAGATTTTGCCACCAAAGTGGCTAGTTTATTGTGCACCCCATATCCGTCCTGTGGGCGGTAGCACAAGAGCATATGGATACACACAAGGCCTAGGAACTAGGCCCTAAAGGGTTAACATGAATACATATGGATTTATATCTACATATCTATAGCTCACCTATCTGTTACAAGCAAATTTATGAAATTTGCTTAGTATATCTGGTATCTTATTCTCATTAATAAGATATCTTGACATGTCACATAAGTTATTATACTGTCTGTCTCTGTATTCCTCAATAAGTTTTTTTTTTATATTTTATTTAAAAACTTTATGTACAATAGTTCAGGTACAGAAAATCATAATTACACTCCACTAGTAATAATTCATTTTTTTTTTTCACATATACAATCCATGAGGTAAGCACATATATCATGACATGGAACTAATTGAAAGTAAACCTAGCCCACGTCCATACAATCATTATGAACACCAATAGGTTTACAGGTCATAAAGACTAATTTAGTATAACCTTGACTCCCCCCCTGTTGAATACTGTTCCCCTTCACTTCCATACATATGAAAACCTAATCACCTACAAATTAACAAAATCAGATGAACCCCTACTCCCACCAACTGACTCAAACAGACTCAATGTTTTCTTCTCCACCATAGCAAAGAATCTAGCAACCAAAATCCCAAGCTCAAATACCCGTCCATCAGACTACCTCACAGGCACCTACCCGCATACACTATTCCTAGCTCCAACCAACCCAACAGAGGTCTCGCTCATCATCAACACCAATCATTGCAACATGCTTTAATAAATCCATCGAATCCTCTACCTTCCCTACTCACCACTCTCTTCACATCCACCCACCCATCTCCCAACACCTCACTCTCCCACCCACATCTCCAACAAGACACAATTTTCACTCATAACCCACAATTTTTCTGGTTTTAACTATTTCATCAGAAAAGTCACCACAACACTTACAACTTATAACCACTAATCCATTTCACTAGTCACAATTTTATATACAGTGGTCCCTCGCTTTTCGTAGTTCTCGGCAATCGTAAATTTCGCCAATCATAGGGGTATTTTCGTATAAACATGGACTCGCTTTTCATAGGTTGACTCGCGGATAGTAGTTCATCTGGGATGCGTACGCACGGTGTGAGCCGGGGCGGCCTCACTACCCAGCAACTCTGGCATTGTTTACCAGTGAGTGAAAGTCCCCACAAGTGCTCCTACGAAATATTTCATAATATGTATTCCACTCATTTTAGTGCTTGCAATTACTAAATAAGCTACCATGGCTCCAAAGAAAGCTCCTAGTGCGAAGCCTGTGGTAAAGAAGGTGAGAAATATGTACAGTGACAAAGTCTTGGGCCATTTTAGGGAAGTGTTAAAGGGACGCCAGAAACAGAGCTCTCTCCACAGTTACTTTGCGAGACAGGACTAGAGTGACTCTCAAGGTGGTCCTAGTGGCATTAAGAAACAGAGAAGAGAAGCAACCCCAGAGAAGCAATTGGTACCTGAGGTGTTGCTGGAAGGGGATTCCCCTTCCAAACTGTAAACAATCCACTCTCTCTCCTCCTCCAGTCTCCCATACACTAAGAAGAATCTCCAATAAAGGTAAGTGTTATGCTGTTAATGTTTCATTCATCACTTCCCATTGTATTGTTTATGTACTACATGTATATTTCATGTAAAAAATTTTTTTGTTTTAATGCTTCTGGGTGTCAGGAACGGATTAATTGTATTTACATTATTTTTTATGGGGAAAATTGATTCGCAAATCGTAAATTTTGTTTATAGTAGCTCCTCCAGGAACGGATTAATTACGAAAAACGAGGGACCACTGTATTATGACAAAAGATTCTCTTGCCACAAATTTCACCAATACAAGAAAGATTTTTACTAATAATGTTCACAACATTTCACATTTTTATACACACATCTCTTCAGAACACACAAAAAATCACATTCACACACACACACACACTATTCACTCATTTCACCTGTCTCAATTCAACCAAAAGATACAAATTTCACTCAATTTTTTTCTCGCATGACACTAATACACAATTTCACTCTTAACCCACAATTTTCCCCCATTTTTACTAATTCATCAAAAAGCCTCAAAACATATTTTTACATATTACGAAGTTAATACCCATACACACACATACACACACACACACACACACACACCTGGTCCGGCAACTGGCTTCCTGAATTTAATTCCGCCAAATGCAAAGTCATGAAGATAGGGGAAGGGCACAGAAGACCGCAGACAGAGTATAGGCTAGGTGGCCAAAGACTTCAAACCTCGCTCAAGAAGAAAGATCTTGGGGTGAGTATAACACAGAGCATGTCTCCGGAAGTATACATCAACCAGATAACTGCTGCAGCATATGGGCGCATGGCAAACCTGAGAACAGCGTTCTGATTCCTTAGTAAGGAATCGTTCAAGACACTGTACACCGTGTGCGTCAGGCCCATACTGGAGTATGCTGCACCTGTTTGGGACCCGCACTTGATAAAGCACGTCGAGAAACTAGAGAAAGTGCAAAGGTTTGCGACAAGGTTAGTTCCAGAGCTAAGGGGAATGTCCTATGAAGAAAGGTTAAGGGAAATCGGCCTGACGACACTGGAGGACAGGAGGGTCAGGGGAGACATGATAACGACATATAAAATACTGCGCGGAATGTTCCAGGGAGGGGGCACAGAAACAAGAGGTCCCAATTGGAAGTTGAAGACACAGATGAGTCAGAAAGATATTAGGAAGTATTTCTTCAGTCATAGAGTTGTCAGGCAGTGGAATAGCCTAGAAAGTGACGTAGTGGAGGCAGGAACCATACATAGTTTTAAGATGAGGTTTGATAAAGCTCATGGAGCGGGGAGAGAGAGGGCCCAGTAGCAACCGGTGAAGAGGCGGGGCCAGGAGCTAAGACTCGAACCCTGCAACCACAAATAGGTGAGTACACACACACACACACACACACACACACACACACACACACACACACACACACACAACACACACACACTTTTCTCAATATCTCTTAAGAAATATATTCTCTCATGAACAGCCTTTACCATCTCACTACAGAACAACCCCCATCAAAACACTCTCAAACATCGTTGAGCACTTCCAAATAACAAGAGAATACTTCCAAACATCATTTGAACACCTTCAAAAAACACCTTTGAATATTCCCAAATAACATTTGACATTTCTAACTCATCCACACTTACATATTTCATTAAATAACATCTCATCCCCCAAACTATTCCCTCATTCTCCAGATTTTTAGAACATTAGCACAAAAAAAAAAAACTATCTCATACACTTATGTACTACTACCAAAACTAACACACAGACACTACACTTTACTTTGAACACTATCAAAACACTCTCATACATCATTCGAAGACCGCCAAATCACCACTGATTACTCCCAGAACACCTTCAAAAATACTCTGCACATCATTTGAACACCTTCAAAAACATCATCGAACACCATTTGAGTACTCCCAAATACACCACTGAATACTACCAAAACACCACCAAAATCACCAGAAACTAAGATCAACACCACAGGTTAACACCCATTTCTATGAATACACTCACCTCCAACTAAGATGAGCGAGAAAAAAAAAAAAAAAAAAAAAAAAAAAAAAAAAAAAAAAAAAAAAAAAACAGGATCACCTCTTTTTTTGGCATCTCTAGTTCGACAACCCACAACTTATAATCTCTTTTTCAGTATCTCTAGTTCAACAGCAATACCCACTACCCACATCACTTACCATTTTATTCACAATTTTTCCCCTTTCGATACAAATTTTTCTTAAATGTTAAATGTAATGCACGTTCCTCCCTACACTCACTAAATTTCTAATAAAATCCATTCCATACCATCTCCTTAAATCCACATAGTTTAATATTATACTCGTAATCCACTTACAACCTTCACCCACATTTTCATTTTGTCTCAGTAATGTTCACATGTCACAAATTTTTAGAAAACACTCATTTTTATAAATATATCATGAGTGTTGAAATTTTGTCTGGACTGCCTCGATGTGAGTTGTCTACCCTAGCAAGCTCTCTTGGCGCCGAGCTCTGAGGTCGGTACCTCAACCTCACAAGTGGCTTATATGACATATTTCAATAAATGACTGATGTTGCAAGAAAATCTCGCCTGCATGCACGTATTAAGGACTAACTTACTTGGAGTCGCAGCATATATCCCGATCTTCAACCTCCCTAAGCTTTGCCCCTTTGGACTCCCCCTCGGAACCATGTGCAACCAGGAGCCTTAATTCCTGCAATATTAAATCTATATTAGTGACCTGCCTGCACCTCAGAAATTCCTGTATCCAAAGGGGTGAGTATCCCCTAGTCTAACTATGCAGAAATGGACACTAGCTTCTAGGCTGACAGGAGACGCCGGTACGTACTGGTCATGAACTGCCGGCTGACACAAAGGCCACAGCACGACTCACTCGCAATTTTCCCCAGACACTGGCCAGGATCCTAAGAAAAAATGGGAGGTCTTGTCTTACTGTATGGGCCTGACAGAGGAGGACATCTACGGTACGTCGAGGTGCCTACACCAGATTTCCCCAGGTCTATTATGTGAAGACACATGGGGGCGCCGCCTGCTGATCACGGCACTTGTTGCTACGGCGGTGTCTAGTCTTAGAAGGAAGCTCTGGCGTCTTCGAGACCTGCGCCTCATCATTCAAACTTTGGCTGCCAGTTCTCCCTAGCTAACATAATCTAGTGTTTGCCTACATTCGGCCTATACTACCTACGTTAAGGTCTTAGGGCTACATTATTATTATCTACAGTTGCCTCAATAATCCTAATATTAGTGTACTAACAGTATAAACTACCTACCTCTTCCCTGAAGGGTAAATCTATCAGTTAAAATGTACCTTCCAACCACCTTCGCCAACCCGGGTGAGTGTGTGTGTGTTTTGGGTGGGAGTAAGGGCCCTCAAACGGTGTGTTTTTCCCCATTGGGACTTCTAGGACCGAATAAGTTCCAACATCCTCCCGCCGGTGAAGGTAGGCGCTAAGTCTAAATCAAGTCTGCCTCCCGCGGGCCCCCACAGCACACCCTGGGCACGAGTGCCATCCGGCCACTCTCGTCGAGCAGACTGATCTAACTTCAACCGTCCAGTTTTCCCTGTGTGGACCTCTGGGGGTGTAAACTTGTTGGTTCCAGTGGTCTTAGCACCCCTTCCATTAACTTTAACATCTTTTGTATGTCTAGCCTTGACTGAGCGGCTCCGTACTTTCCCACTATTTTGTACTTCAATTAGCCCACCCCGCAGCACGAATGGTATTAGGCAAGAATGAATCACCCCGCAGCACGAATGGTATTAGGCAAGAATGAATGAGTCTCAAGGCTTCTCAACAAGCTTAACAACTCCCTTTAAATAATAACTCTACTCTGCATTAAAACATACACTGTTAGCTCTCAAACCCAACTGAAATATATATCAATGTGAAAGCTTAACCTAGCAATTTCCTGTACAATGTCGGCAAATAATTACAGGACTTAACCTAGTCTCTGGTACGAATCACAAATCCCACATTAAAATGAGCCAAATACAATAAATCACACAATAAAAATGGAGTATACAAATTAAAAATCACTTGGTTAGCACAAATAAATTCAACCATTCAACTTGTGAAACAGTAAATAAATAGTGTGTGTAAACAGCTTAGCCTAACTGCCCAGCTTACTCAGTCTAGTATGGATAGATGGATAAGGTAAATCCTAACCTAACTAATGTGCTATAGCCTAAACCTGGCTTTAGAACTCACTGTAAAAAATAACTAGGTTAAATCTGTCCTAGCTACTATAACTGTTGTAAATATTGCACAAGCCTAACCTAATTGTGGCTACCTTGCAAATCCACTGGTCATAGGTATGGTAACCTTAGACCTGCAAAAGGCCTTCGATACTGTCAACCACAATATATTATGTAAGAAACTTCAAGCCATCAGTATAGATTCTGTAGATTGGTTTAAGTCCTACCTTAGCAACAGGAGACAAATTGTCAAAATCAACAAAACAGAATCAGAACCTCTGCCGATAGCATGTGGAGTTCCCCAAGGTAGTATTCTGGGTCCCTTATTATTCTTATGTTATGTCAATGACATGCCTATCAGTGTCAAGGGCAAACTCCTACTGTATGCAGATGACAGTGCTCTGTTAGTGTCAGGTAAAGACCCACAAGATATAGCTAATGTATTAACACTGTAACTGGAGTCCTGCAGCAAATGGTTAGTAGACAACAAGCTATCATTACACCTCGGGAAGACTGAAGCCATTCTCTTTGGCACGAAACATAAACTGAGAAGGGTAAATAATTTTAATATCCAGTGTAATGGGGAGCCCATCACTTTGGTTTCATCAATAAAATATCTGGGAATCCCCTTTGACCCATGCATGTCAGGAGAATTGATAGGGAACAGTGTAGTAAAGAAAGCGAATGCCAGACTGAAGTTCCTCTATAGACAGTATAGACTGTAGTCAAAAGATTACAGAGGTACATAATTGGTCCCTGGACCAATTATGTACCTTTGTAATCTTTTGACTACCGCCCACAGGATGGGTATGGGGTGCATAATAAACATATTAAACTAATTACTCTATAGACAAGCACAGTGTCTACCTACTGAGGCTGGCAGGACCCTATGTCTAGCCCTTATACAGTGTCATATGGATTACGCTTGCTCTTCATGGTACTCTGCCTTGACAAAAAAAAATGAAAGATAGACTGCAAATCACCCAGAACAAAATTGTAAGATTCATCCTGGGGCTGGGACCAAGAGAACATGTAGGCCAGGATGAATTACAGCAGTTGGATATGCTGAATGTTGAAGACAGAGTAAAACAACTGAAGCTAAATCATATTTATAAAATTGCTCACAAACAGTGTCCAGAATATCTTGCTGTCAATTTTATCAAGGTTGGGAACCGCAGCAATCATAGTACTAGGGGGAGAGAGCACAACTTTGTAGTACCCACAGTCATTGGCCAGGCTTCAAACACCTTTTATTGTACGGCAATAAAGGAATGGAACAGACTGCCCGCACATGTCAAAGCCAGTCATAGCATGAACCAGTTCAAGAAGAGTGCCAAAAGGTGTCTGATGAATGTAGCTACAGAAAGGGAGGAGAATGATTTTTTATTTTTTTTGCTAACACATGTGTAAATTTTACCTTATCCCTAGTAATGACCCTCGTATTGTAGATAGTCTTAATGACCCTCGTGTAGTAGATAGTCTTTTTAGTATGATAATAAGATGTTATCTTCATTAGAGAATAATAAGAAAATGACTCAAGAAATCGTAATGACACGATTGCAAATAAACCATCCCCCCGGCCGGGATTGAACCCGCGGTCATAGAGTCTCAAAACTCCAGCCCGTCGCGTTAGCCACTAGACCAGCTAGCCACAATAAGATTCATCCAACTAGGTATATTTCTACACCATAGGTGTAGAAATATACCTAGTTGGATGAATCTTATTGTGGCTAGCTGGTCTAGTGGCTAATACGACGGGCTGGAGTTTTGAGACTCTATGACCGCGGGTTCAATCCCGGCCGGGGGTATGGTTTATAATAAGAAAATATTATAACCTTTATAATAATAAGGTAAAAAGACCCCAATGGAAATAAGTCACTCTGTCTGACTTTTTGGTGTTATCCCAGGTTCTCTACACATATGCGCTATGTATGATAATCTACGTAACTGTATTTGTGTATACCTGAATAAACTTATTTACTTACTTACACTAAGTAATTAACACACAAGTCTTATTACTCTGGTTTACTTGTAATCACTGTAAATAATTAAATACACAAGCTTCTCTAGCCTACCTGGCCTGCCTGTAAAAATTTTTGTAAATAATAACTTCTGTGTATAGTCAGCTTGGCCTAGCTTCTGTGTTAACTCTGGGCCTGGGTGCTAACTTAACCTAACTCTGTTAAACTGGTTCCTAACTGTGGCCTAGCTATGATAGCTTGACCTAGCTATTCCACATCACAGTTCAAAGGACCAATGTTGAAATTTTGTCTGGACTGCCTCCATGTGAGTTGTCTACCCTGGCAAGCTGTGTTGTCTACCCTGGCAAGCTGTGTTGTCTACCCTGGCAAGCTGTGTTGTCTACCCTGGCAAGCTATGTTGTCTACCCTGGCAAGCTATGTTGTCTACCCTGGCAAGCTGTGTTGTCTACCCTGGCAAGCTGTGTTGTCTACCTTGGCAAGCTATGTTGTCTACCCTGGCAAGCTGTGTTGTCTACCCTGGCAAGCTGTGTTGTCTACCCTGGCAAGCTGTGTTGTCTACCCTGGCAAGCTGTGTTGTCTACCCTGGCAAGCTGTGTTGTCTACCCTGGCAAGCTGTGTTGTCTACCCTGGCAAGCTGTGTTGTCTACCCTGGCAAGCTGTGTTGTCTACCCTGGCAAGCTGTGTTGTCTACCCTGGCAAGCTGTGTTGTCTACCCTGGCAAGCTGTGTTGTCTACCCTGGCAAGCTGTGTTGTCTACCCTGGCAAGCTGTGTTGTCTACCCTGGCAAGCTGTGTTGTCTACCCTGGCAAGCTGTGTTGTCTACCCTGGCAAGCTGTGTTGTCTACCCTGGCAAGCTGTGTTGTCTACCCTGGCAAGCTGTGTTGTCTACCCTGGCAAGCTGTGTTGTCTATCCTGACAAGCTGTGTTAACATCGAGCTCTGACGTCGGTACCTCAGCCTCACAAGTTGTCTATCCTGGCAAGCTGTGTTGTCTACCCTGGCAAGCTGTGTTAACACCGAGGTCTGAGGTCGGTACCTCAGCCTCACAAGTTGTCTACCCTGGCAAGCTGTGTCGACATCGAGCTCTGAGGTCGGTACCTCAGCCTCACAAGTGGCTTATAGGAGAGATTTCCATAAATGACTGATGTTGCAAGAAAATCTCACCTGCATGTACTTATAAAGGACTAACTTAATGTTGGAGAATATATCCCAATCTTCAACCTCCCTAAGATTTAGCCTCTCTGGACTTTCCCTCGGAACCAGGTGGCCCGGTGGCCTGGTGGCTGGACTGGTGGACCGGTGGCCTGGTGGCCCAGTGGCCTGGTGGCCTGGTGGCCCAGTGGCCTGGTGGCTAAAGCTCCCGCTTCATACACGGAGGGCCCAGGTTCGATTCCTGGCGGGTGGAAACATTTCGACACGTTTCCTTACACCTATTGTCCTGTTCAACTAGCAGCAAATAGGTACCTGGGTGTTAGTCGACTGTTGTGGGTGGCATCCTGGGTGTTAGTCGACTGGTGTGGGTCGCATCCTGGGGGCAAGATTGAGGACCACAATGGAAATAAGTTAGAAAGTACTGATGAAACACTGACTTTCTTGGGTTATCCTGGGTGGCTAACCCTCCGGGGTTAAAAATCCGAACGAAATCTTATCGTAACCGGGAGCCTTAATTCCTGCAATATTCAATATTCAATGGATAGTAGTGACCTGCACCTCAGAAATTCGTGTATCCCAGGGGTGAGTATCCCAGGGGGTGAGTATCCCAGGGGGTGAGTATCCCAGTGGGTGAGTATCCCAGGGGGTGAGTATCCCAGGGGGTGAGTATCCCAGGGGGTGAGTAACCCAGGAGGTGAGTATCCCAGGAGGTGAGTATCCCAGGAGGTGAGTATCCCAGGAGGTGAGTATCCCAGGAGGTGAGTATCCCAGGAGGTGAGTATCCCAGGAGGTGAGTATCCCAGGAGGTGAGTATCCCAGGAGGTGAGATCCCAGGAGGTGAGTATCCCAGGGGGTGAGTATCCCAGGAGGTGAGTATCCCAGGAGGTGAGTATCCCAGGGGTGAGTATCCCAGGAGGTGGAGTATCCCAGGAGGTGAGTATCCCAGGAGGTGAGTATCCCAGGAGGTGAGTATCCCAGGAGGTGAGTATCCCAGGAGGTGAGTATCCCAGGAGGTGAGTATCCCAGGAGGTGAGTATCCCCTAGTTAACTATGCAGAAATATACACTAGCTTCTAGGGTAACAAGAAACACTGCTACATACTGCTGAGGAACTTCCCACTCACACAATAACAAGAAACACTGCTACATACTGCTGAGGAACTTCCCTCTCACACAATAACAAGAAACACTGCTACATACTGCTGAGGAACTTCCCTCTCACACAATAACAAGAAACACTGCTACATACTGCTGAGGAACTTCCCTCTCACAATAACAACTCACTCACAATTTTCCCCAGACACTGGCCAGGATAATAAGAAAAAACTGCATGTAACTGACGGAGGAGGACAGTAACTGACGGAGGAGGACAGTAACTGACGGAGGAGGACAGTACCTGAGGGAGGAGGACATCTATGGTGAGGCGCCTCCACCAGATTATCAGGGATGTTTATGGTGGGTGTAAGGGACCTCAGATGGTGGGTTTATGGTGGGTGTAAGGGACCTCAGATGGTGGGTTTATGGTGGGTGTAAGGGACCTCAGATGGTGGGTTTATGGTGGGTGTAAGGGACCTCAGATGGTAGGTTTATAGTGGGTGTAAGGGACCTCAGATGGTGGGTTTATGGTGGGTGTAAGGGACCTCAGATGGTGGGTTTATGGTGGGTGTAAGGGACCTCAGATGGTGGGTTTATGGTGGGTGTAAGGGACCTCAGATGGTGGGTTTATGGTGGGTGTAAGGGACCTCAGATGGTGGGTTTATGGTGGGTGTAAGGGACCTCAGATGGTAGGTTTATGGTGGGTGTAATGGACCTCAGATGGTGGGTTTATGGTGGGTGTAAGGGACCTCAGATGGTGGGTTTATGGTGGGTGTAAGGGACCTCAGATGGTAGGTTTATAGTGGGTGTAAGGGACCTCAGATGGTAGGTTTATGGTGGGTGTAAGGGACCTCAATGGTGGTTTATGGGGGTGTAAGGCCTCAGATGGTGGGTTATGGGGGTTAAGGGCCCTCAGATGGTGGGTTTATGGTGGGTGAAAGGCCCCCAAGGTGGGGTTTATGGTGGGTTAAGGGACCTCAGAGTAGGTTTATGGGGGTGTAAGGGACCTAAGGGGTGGGTTTATGGTGGGTGTAAGGACCCGATGGGGGTTTTATGTGGGTGAAGGGGACCTCAGATGGGGGGTTTTATGGGGGTGTAAGGGACCTCAGGGGGGGTTTATGGTGGGGTGTAAGGCCCTCAATGGTGGGTTATAGTGGGTGAAGGGCCCTCAGATGTAGGTTTATGGTGGGTGTAAGGGACACAGATGGTGGGTTTTAGGGGGGTTTAAATGGCCTCGATGGGGGTTTTTTATGGGGGGAAGGGACCTCAGATGGTGGGTTTATGGGGGGTGAAAAGGACCTCAGATGGGGGTTTTGGGGGGTTTGTAAGGGCCCTCAGAGGGTGGGTTATAGTGGGGTGGGGGACCTCAGATGGTGGTTTTCCCCCGCTCTGGCACTTCTCCACTAAATAACTTTGTTAAAATTTTGGGGGGGCTGCCCCAAGTGAGCCCTACCCGCAAACTTTTGACCCGAGCTCGAGGGGGGTACCTCAGCTCACAAGTGGCTTTTAGGACAGTTTTTCACAAATGATTGTTGTTACAAACTTAATTAAAAAGAAACGGCACGGTAAGCTGTCCAATATACAAAAAAAGTTAGAAACGAAAAACAAATAGCTAGGCTTAAAAAGGATTAATAGAAAAATTCAAGGGGGTTTTAGTAGAATTGCGTAAAAAAACCATTCAAATATTATGAAGCTGTTGTAGTCTGGGTCAGTCAAAAAACGGGCTTCCCATGGGTAAATTGTCATTTTTGTGGAAATTGGTGTCAGCCCCTTGCAGAATCCAAGAACTACTACAAGATTTGATTTTAGATTTTGCCACCGAAGTGGTATTTATTGTCACCCCCTATCCTCCTGTGGGCGGTAGCGCGAAGGGATATGGAAAAAAAAAGGCCTAAACAGGGGCCCCAAAGGTTAACAGGAAATTTATATGGATTTATATCTACATATCTATAGTTCACTTATCTGTTACAACAAATTTAGGGAAAATTTTTTTAATATCTGGGATTTATTTTCATTTTAAAAAAACTTGACCTGCACATAGGGTTTTATACGTCGTCTGTATTCCCCAAAATGGGCAATTAAGCACATGTGTTCAAGAGAGTGCCCTATCGAACCATAATTTACATTTGTTTTGATCTCATTGTGTGTCTCCCAAACGCCAAAAATACTTGAACCCAACCAAGCCGGACCAAAACA